AGAGAGAGAGAGAGAGAGAGATTTTAAGTAGTTACTTACTAGATCTAGTTACCGATTTTGGACCTGTTCTACCGCCATACCGTTCAATGTGTCAAAACTACCGAATTTCCTATGGGGTCCTTTCTGTAGTGCTTCCAACCTTCTCTTCTAACTTCTAGGATATTTACGGTAATACTCGGCAAGAAGTTGTATTAGAAACCTTCCAGATAGTGCATTTTGTCATTTTGTACACTCGACCATTGTCCCTCTGTGAATCTATGGCGGGTCGTTCGGTGAAGCATTTTCCCTTGCAAATTGGGTAAATTCTGGCTAGTCACGACCGTTTATCTCCCTCCTTCCATTCATTCACTCATTCTTTCTGTCTGTTAGCCTATTGGGATTTTACTGTGGCTTTAAAATCTGTTCGTTGATCAAGGAATTTGGATTGCGAAAGTAGAAAGAAATTCAATATCAGAAAGAAACTTTCAAATCTGTCTAGATCTAGAGAATTTGTCAGTACATGTATGAGGATTCTACTGCAGCAGGACAAGGCTGCGGTGTAAGAAACTGAGACTCAAAAGATAAGTAGAAGTGGTGCTCTGTCGTTGTAACATTAGGCAATCGAATGAGTAAATTGAGGAAAATTATGAATACAGACTTGGGGTGTCCTTAAGTTGGATGTTCCCGGATTTGCGTAGTCTACTTAACTGTCAATGGTTCGATTGCTAATTAAATAGAGGAAATGGAAAATGCCATTTCACCCCTAAAAAAGCTCAAAATTTCAAATTCTTCCAGAGACATTTGCTCTGCCTTGAGCCCAACTTTTACGTTTTTCCTCTAATAATTTGTCTTGCACGCTTTTTAAAATCAATGAATGCTGAAACCAAGACATGGTTTTGACAGTTGATGTTCTAGTCTTTCCATGAGACCAGATCAGGATTCATCTTTTTATGGTCAGAGGAAATCTAGTTAAATTTGACTGCCATACCAAAGTCACATATGACGTATCAGAACCCTTAGATAGGTATGCTATTGAATTAATATATAGTTTTTATCGGTACGGGATCTTTCAGAGTCAAAAACACTAATAAAATCTGCCTTAAGAAACTGATGGAAAAGGTCACACCCTAAACACAAAGGACATGACCCCTACTACATACTAAATAGGACAGACCAGGTCACAATCTTTAGACTCCGTTGTGGCCACCACCGACTCAAGCACCATATGCACACCAAATTAAAAGTGGGAGAGTCAGCGATCTGTGAATGTGGACACGACCAAGAGGATGCCAACCATATTATCCTTCAGCACTGCCCGCGCTACGCCACCATTCGTATACAGACGCGGCAGAATGTGGCTCCCCTTGAGAGAAAGCTCTATGGCAGTCTCTCAGAGTTGAAGCGAACTGCACAGTTTGTGCGCGACATCGGACTAACTGTCTAGCTGCTGTCATCAAAAACGAGGAAAAAGAAGAAATTGGTACGGGCTGTGGGTTTTGAAGTCAGTTTGGCTGTCACTTTGCACTCAAATTCAATACTGATTTGTAGATGCCTTGAACAACAATCCATAAATGCCTTAAAAACACATAATGTCATCTCATCAACACTGTTCATCTTCATTTATGCAGGACTGCCTACCATTACGAATCTAGCGGAATTGTCACGATTTTTTCTCAGCTTTACGGAAATACTATCGCAGCACCTTTGATTCCGATTTTTCAAAATGCGGGTGTCGTTCGGCTACCCTAAACCATTCCCATCCTCTTTGAATATAAGGAAGAAAAAACAATCCGTCCCCGATACTCGACATCAATACAACACGCACTCTGTGCACAGAGTTCTTGCAGACGCTCAGTGTCACTTTGCTCCTTTGAAAAGCATAATTGATCCAACGCAAAAATTCGGTCTTTGTTTGAAATTTGAAACTACATTGTATTAACTGCGAGGCGCGGCAGAGCGAATTGATACTGCCATGTTACACAATCAGGAGCAAGAGCTTATGACACATTCTATTGTTCCGTCTGTTTCTTTTGCCTTTTTAAAAGTACTAAATGCCGACTCACAGCCAATAACTACCACTCCCTACCCCCCCCCCCCCGCACTCCCTTTTGCCCAACTTACGGCTCGTACACACCATTCTTATATGGGCCCCTCCCACCAACTGTTCGTGTTCACGCGATAGTGATAGTTGTCGTCAGGGGCAAAGGCTGACTTGTTTGACAGGGTATTCAAAGTGAAATGGGACCAGATAGGGCCTGGAGATATCACACTCACACAAGTCACAAGAATCTTACTGGCACTGGAGGCGGCAACTCTTGAGTTGTGAATGAAAACAAATCCCGAATTCATGTTGTATGTTTGTTCAATCGCTAAAATAATCGGGAAAGTATTTCATTAAATATTTATTCTAACTAACCTTAAATTTAACTTTAGATTTGAACACACTAACACCAAGGAAAGAAGCACAGATGTCAGCACTACAATGGCATGTTATACCAGACAGCCGAAACACTTTGGTAGAGCACGCCAATTATTAATTTTTTATTTCACATTGCTGTTTTTTGTCTAGCTTTTCGCGGCCAGGAGCCGCTGTCATAATCGAGGTCACGATCTGATTATATTTATAGGACGTTAAAAAGTCGAGGAAAAAAACAAGCACTAGGAGTGTAGTAGCAGGAGTCAAAGGATTATTAGGAGTTAGTTCCCCTCACATCTGTGAGGTAGACTCGACCAGTGTAATAGTTCGCTTAGATAATCAGCTCGTCTGGGTGCTTATAACTGTGGCCTGAAAGGGGTGAACAGGGTATATGCGACAATGAAACAGTTCTGACTGCTATGCACATGTTCCCTTCAAATCTATTGGTTGACTCTTCCAGCCTCACTTTAAGCTTACTTAATCAAGGCTTGTGACTGCTTATGGAGTGGCCCGATTGGGGCGAATAGGCTATTTCTGTGGCAATGAAACGGTTTTGAAGGTTAGGCATAGTCTATTGTTCAGTGGTGATTATGAACGTCTTTTTACATTTAATTTATGAGGTTTACGTCTATGGGTGAATTTGACTGCGACAATGTTTCAAAATTAGGAAGGGAAGCAGTGATTATTTGATTATATAGACGCTTCGCCTCTGGTTGTCGTTCGTGCGTGTGGCGAGTTTTACGGCGTCCATAAAATTCCTTCCGTCTGCTCTCGTATTGTGACCGACCGCTCCCCTACAGGAGGAAGAAGAGGACCTGCTCTTCTTCAATAGCCTGATCCTCAAGATAAAGACATTCGATGTCTTACTGAAGATGGGGCTGCAAGCAGAAATGCACAGTGATCTATTCCAACACTTGAAAGGGGTACACACTACTACAGCAACGGGAGAGCAAGAAATGCGTGGTGATATTCGCCATATAATTGTCTATCGACCAAAATTGGGTGGATCCAGTGCCTCCTATTCTTCCTCTTATTTCTTTCTTTTAACAACAGTAAAATCTTCAGTTTAGTTTTAGCATCCATGATGATATAAAACACGTTCGATAACTGACAAATAGACAGATGATGTGTGTGAATGGGCACACGTTCATGCTTTAGACAATTGCACGATACCACATGAAAGTGGATGTTTGGTGTGTAACAGCGTAACTCGGCAAAGATGAGCCTGCTGAGACGTCTGTCATCACGCATTTGTTCACATCACATCCCTCCTTTCATCTACAAAACTCCAGTCCTTCTTGACATCCAAGGAAAAGGTGGTCCATGGCCATTTTACGAATTTTTCTTACGAAAATTCTTGCAATTTTTGGAACCCCTACAAAAACAATATTAACTATATAATATCATTATATACCCAAGCAAACTGTTGTGTCATAGCAGGAGAACTATATATACCTGTTTAAGTAAATACTGGGGTTAGACTAGGCTGTATCTTATCACCTGTAATTTTTGGAATTATGATCTATTTTGTTATGAGACAGAGCAAAGCCACTAAAACAGGCATTGGATGGACAAATGGTACATATTTAGGAGATTTAGATTTTGAGGATGACTTCTGCCTATTAAGTACCCCAGTACATGAAATGCAGTAAAGAAAACCAAACGAATAAGTAAGAGCAGCGGAAAAAGTAGATGGTTGGGCCATGTCAAGAGAGTGGACGACAACCGGATTCTAAAGCAACTTCTCTATGAAGAAATTACCCTGGGAAAGAGATCAAGAGAAAGGCCAAAACTGAGATGCAAAGACTCCTGCAAAAACAGCCTATCGAAGCTTGGAGTAGATGTCAGCACCTGGGAAGAAATAGCTGAGGACAGGAAAGCACGGATGAAATTTATAACGGAAAAACTATCATGCTAGAGAGTAGCCTCAGAAACAACCAGGCTGGGAAGCGCCAACGACGAAAGGAAAACAGCGGAAATACAGAGCTTCAGAGAATACCGAAGACAAGACTGGCCGATCAGATATGGTATTGAAGACAGATAAGAACAAAATCGAGGAATACCAACTGGAAGCTAAAGAGGCATAATAAGAGATGAGGCAATCACACAGCGCCTGGATGTGCCGAGATTGGAGAACGTGGCACTCTTACCTGAATAAACGGCTACCGGCAGGGGCGAAGGCTGACTTGTTTGACAGGGTAATCAAAGTGAAACGGGACCAGATATGGCCTGTAGATATGACACAAGAATCT